ATCACAGAATCATAAATGGTTTGGGTTGGAAGGGACCTGAAAGATCATCTAGTTCCAACCCCCCTGCCATGGGCAGGGACACATTCCGCGAGACCAGGTTGCTCAAAGCGACACCCAGCCCGGCCTTGAACACTTCTGGGGGTGGGGCATCCACAGCTTCTCTGGGCAACCTGTTCCAGTGCCTCACCACCCTTATAGTGAAGAATGTCTTCCTTGGGTCTAATCTAAGACCAAGCCACTGCCCCTTGTCCTATCACTACATGCCCTTGTAAAAAGTCCCTCTCCAGCTTCCTTGTAGGCCCCCCTCGGGTAACTGGCAGGCCACAATAAGGTCTCCATGGAGCCTTCTCTTCTCCAGGCTGAACAACCCCAACTCCCTGAGTGTGGTTTCATCAGAGAGGCACTCCAGCCCTCTGATCATCTTCATGGCCCTCCTCTGGACTCACTCTAACATGTCCATGTCCTTCTTACGCTGGGGGCCCCAGAGCTGAATGCAGTGCTCCAGGTGGGTCTCACAAGGGCGAGAATCATCTCTCAACCTGCTGGCCGCAATTCTTTTGATGCAGCCCAGGATACGGTTGGCTTTCTGGGCTGCATGCGTGCATTGCTGGGTCATGTTGAGCTTCTCATCAGCCAGCACCCCCAAGTCCTTCTCAGGACTGCTCTCAATCCATTCCCTACCCAGCCTATATTTGTGCTTGGGATTGCCCTGACCCATGTGCAGGACTCTGCACATGGAAGGTGCATCTCAGAGCAGGTTTTCAGGACTTAATAGTGAAAATGGAAGGAGATATTCTTGCATTTCTAAATTGACATCTAGGTTATTGCAAGCTCTTTTTTCATAGTGAAAATGGAAGGAAATATTCTTGCATTTCTAGATTGACATCTAGGTTATTGCAAGCTCTTTTTTTAAAAAGTGACTGTTAATGACATTTTAAAGTTAGTAATTAGATCCATATTTACGATCAGAGGAGTCTCCTAGTACTCCCCTGACTGAATCAAACTCTGTCTGACAGGCTTCTTGAATGACTTGCTAAGCTTGTTAGAAAATAATCGGTGAAAGGATTGGTTTAGTCTTGATTCTTGTTTTTGGGGTTTTTTCTTGGGTGGGTAGGGGACTTGAGGATCTTAAGTCATCTAATCTAGGTGTTTTTCTCTAACACTACTCTTTTGGATAATTCTGAAATGAAGCAGAGCATATCTCCAAGTTAGTAGTGGTCAGTAATAGTGTGTGAGTGAGGCCTTTCTCACAGGAAGGGGACAGATGCTAATGGCCAACTGGCTCCAGTTCTTTGCCCCAGCACTCTGAAACATATTTCCCAGCTTGGTCCCTAAAAACTAACCCAACTCAAAGCATGCTGCAGAAACACTTGTCTTGGGCTATGGCTGAGGATTTAGGGAAAATGGAGCCTTTTATTCCCACTTTGGAAGTTGTTTTATGTTGCTTGATGACAGTTATGTTCTGTACACGCTGAATGAAACTATGTGAGTCAGATTTATGTTCCTGCATCATAAATAGACCTGCTTACTGCCGTGCAGGTATGGATGAGCCTGGGTATGTCTTTACCGATACGATCACTGAAGGGGTCTAACACATTTGAAGGAGCAGACTGAGAAAGCATAGTGAAAACAGTAGGAGTCAAGTGCCTTAAGTCTCAGTAAAATTACTATAGCATATTCTGTATCATTTAAAAGAATTGTAAAAAGCAACTTTTAATAAACCATTTGTACCTGCAGCCAAATCGTTTTGGTAACAGGCTTAAAACTTTTTATTCTTTACTCCTTGTGCAGAGATGAAAGACTGTGTGTATGTTGTTGCTGATTGCTGTTCTTGACTAGTCTGGGTGGTTCTCAGTATGTTTTCTAAATTGTCAACTCTTTAAATTGCTCAGCTTGCTTTGTAAGTACAGAGGTTGGGGGAGAAGTTTAAAGCTTGCTGTGAAATAGATTGATACAGATTATAGAAGATATATAACTGTTTCTAGCAGCATTACAAATAGATTATTTGCAACAAAGGAGTTGCAAATAGAATATATTGAGAACTGCTCTGTAACGTTAGCTTACGGAATGTATCTGTGCAAGTTAGGAGCGTTGAGAAAAGTCAAGTCTTTGGTGTCAAAATAAGAGCTGTACAGGTTACTGCAGTAAATGAGTTCATCTTTTGATCTGCTCATGGCAATTTCTGTCAAATTATTTTCTATGATAAGGGATTTTTCGTGGCAATTAGTGAATGTCAATTAGAGTTAGAACGGTAGATGAGATTGCACTTTCCATGTAGTAGCTCAGTGTCCGTAACAGCATCTTTTCAAGGGTGAATTTTAGCTAGGATCACTCAGTGAAGCTTCTGCTTCCTCTCTATCCTTACCTGATCTAGAAGACAAAGAACAAAAAGAGCTGTCTGTGAAGAAGTAGTAGTCATGCAAAGTTATTCTGTCCCATTCGTATTGGAAGTGGAATGCTTTTTTTCCTTTTGTGATGATTTTGCATAACATTGGTTATGTATTTTGCTTCCTTTGTAGTCTTTCAGATACAGCACTAATCTTTACCTTGAACATAGCGCAGCTGATACTTCAAAGAATACAGTACCAGAATTTGTAGCTTTAGAAACATGTAATTTAATTGCCTGAAGTATAATTTTTGTTCCTTTTCTAGAAGCTGATAATACAGCTGTGGGTAATTTTGAGTTTGCACAAATTATGTGAGATATGCTTTTGTGGAACAACTGATAACCTGAGCCTTTTTTACATATCTTGCTCTATCAATATTAAAGGGGCCTGCAGTAAAATGAAGAACAAGCAGCAGATCATCTCCACTGAGCCATGTGGACAGTCTGGGCCAAAGTGTCGGGACTGATAGCTGGTTGCTGTAAGAAGTCAGAAGTATTATACAAATTAAAGGATAATACGTATACAATACCAAATTGGTGTAAATTAGTCAGGAATAGATTTATACAAGAAATTAGAAGAGGTTTCTAAATATCATGAATAAATGGCCTTTTAGATAAAACAGGTAAGCAGGGACAAGGGACCTGGATACCTTTGATGAGTTTGTGGAAGGAGTGGATTAAAGAAAACAGCAATGATTCTGGAAATCTGTGCTGTTTGGAATTTATACCAGTCTGAGCCATTGAATCTGAAGGAAGTTGAAAGGAGAAAAGCTACCTGCTTTTGGGGTTGCTTGCATCTCACACAGTAATTTTGTGCCACATTTCAACTGTTTTCTTTGTGCTCGGGAAGAAATTATGTTTAATCTCTGTAGTATGTGTGTGTGTTTTTGAGCTTTTTTCCACTGTGAGATTAGCTATATTTCAAAAAGGGTACACGTGTGCTTTGAGTGATACTAGTGTACCTCCGCTTTCTGGCTGCTGTCAAACCTGCATTTAGAGCAAAGCAGATTCCTAGCAGATTCGCAGTCAGAAAACTTTTCATCCAAATAAGTTGTTCAGGAATACTGGGGGATTATTTTGCTGTTTTCCTTGTCCAAGAGCTTGGTAAATTATCTGCTTCCTGGGATAGTCTGAATTTTACGTAATGAACATATTGCTTTTAGGTATTGAAGAGACCTTTTGATCTCATAGCTTTCTTCCAGTGACGTGCCGTAGTTATGTCTGTTGGCCTTTTACTTTAGGTCTCAAATCTAGGGGATTCTGAGAAGGAATTTCTGCCTTACGTAAGTGGGAAACATTTGGAGTGTGTGTTAAAGGTACTCCTCTGTGTTACTGTCTGTTGTGGGTCTGATTGCACTTCCCTTAGTGGCCTTTTCCAGTCCCATGTACCTAAATTACATTTAGCTACTGTGTTTCCAGTTATTTTTTCCCTTGCCTTTGATTTAGGAAGTCAGCTTTTGGGGCATTTTGTTCAGGAGTCTGTTTACCCGAGTAACTACGTCTGTCCCCACTACATCAGCGGGCCAGGTGCTGGCTTTTGTCTCCTTTTTGCTCCTGGAGAAGACTTCCCTATATTTCCTGTCTTTAGGAGAGACCTTTTCAAACTATGTTTGAACAGAGTAGTGTGTTACTAAATATAGAATATTTCTATCTTAACTTAGTGAACCTAGAAAAGTGACTCTGTATGTTGCATATACAGGGAGAATTGTATCTCAGTGTCCAAGTTACCTTACCTGTTATAGTTTTGCTCAGACTTCTATGTGATGTGGGAGCCCTTAGTTAAACAGTTTTCATCTTATGCTTATAAACCATATGAATCTTAAAGTGATTATCTTCTGTGCTGATGCAAGGTAGGAATCTGGTTGCAATCTGGGCTCTTCCTGTGGCTGAAGTTTAGACTGAAAGTGTTCAATGACCTCTGCTGTGGTTCAGGTGCTACTGGTGTGATCTAAAATAGTTCAAAGGGATTCCCAGGTATCTTGATACTGTATAAAGAATTCAAATTGATTGAGACCCAAGGTACGCATTTTGCAAGATGTGTTTTAGGCTTGAAGTGATCTTGTTTAGCTACAATTCAGCTGCCTTCCTGCACATAAAACTTTTCCAGGCTTTCTTTATGTTTATATATGATCATTTCTCAGTGTTCAAAACTCTGATTACTCTCAGCCCCTGTGCTTGTGCTTGATGATGGAATTATTTTGCAACTGTGACCCAGAAGAAATCACTGCCAAAGATAACAACCACCATGATAGCGGTAGCCGTGTCCCCTAGGTGCAAGGGGAGATGCATGAGGTTTTCTTTCCCTTTGACGTCAAACTGCAGACTCGTTTCCTTTAATTGAAATTTGGGATCTTCCTGATATCCTGAAAGACCTCATCCTGGATATTATGGCACTGCATTTTTAGAAAAAACGGTGTGGTATCTTTCTACCATATAGTAGCACGTAAAACCTGTGCATGTTCTTACGAATAAAGTGTTCATCTTACTCTTCTGTTGAGTCTTCATCTTTGTATTAAGGAATTCATCTTCTTTACATAGGATTTAGATTTTTGTTTTACTAGACTTAAAGTGCTGTTCTGTGTGAATTTTCCTCTAAAAGTCATTCTGTTTCCAGGTTGCTGTATTTACTTCAGCAAGAAACCTCCAGCACAGAACTGAGAACAGAATGCGCAGTGGTCCTCGGAAGCCTTGCAATGGGTACAGAGAATAATGTCAAATCCCTCCTAGACTGCCATATTATCCCAGCCTTATTGCAAGGTACTTTTTCCTTAATGGATCTATACTAGTAAATGTTCCTAAAGTACTCAAATAAGCAAAGATAATGAAACTGAATAGTAGCACTTTTTTCTATATATGTAGGATTACTGTCGCCAGATTTGAAGTTTATTGAAGGTTGCCTGCGATGTCTCCGTACTATTTTCATCAGCCCTGTAACTCCAGAGGATCTACTATACACAGTAAGTTGTAAACAGATTATTATGTCCTTTTAAAACCTACAGGGTTAGTGGGAGTGAAAGGTTATATTGTCTGTGGTAGTAATGAGGACTTGTTTGACCAACAAGGTTAGCATTTGTCACCTACGTTTAAGGCATCTGGCTCACCTAGCATTTACAGCAATATTTGATATGAGATGGTTGACACTGATAGAAAAAAACTGAAATTTTCAGGCTTGTGTGCAATCTTCAGGAGTAAAAACTGTCTCCAAATGGTATTTACAGATACCAGTATCATAGCTATATTGGCAAAAGTTAGTTTCTGAAACTTAAAATTATATCTGACCCTGTCTTCCCAAACCTGATGTGAGGGTGCTTGCTTAGTTTTTGCACTTGATGTGGAATAGTTTCATGTCCAAAATTTCTTTGCTTTTAGTTAATATACGTGTGGTTTACATTTAACTGACAGGAGGGTAGAAAATGTCCTCCACCATTGCTGTAGTCTTGAGTTCAGCTTGGAGCGTGTGAGCAATAAGGCTGTTGGTGCTGACCTTGCTAAGGTGACTGGGCAAAGCCATTGATGTGGAGCCCTATCTGAAGGCAGTGCCATCTCTTGGCAGTGTAGACACAAAAGGCCTTGCCTAAACTCAGTCACTGTCTCTTACTTGGAAGGAAAGGAAAGAAGGATTTGTATTCGTCCCTCTTCTTTTGTCTCAGTGTAAGGGGTGAAGCAGGCTGTGGCCTGAAAACTTACTGTTCAAGCAATCTTTTTCTGATGGAAAAAGGGTGGCATTGCCCCAGTCTGCTGGAGGTCACCGAGCAAGTCCAGCTTCTGAAGGTAACTGGGAGTCCACAGTGCTAACCACTCTGGTCCCACCACTCATAAGGGATGGCTGAGGAAGACTTGATGCTTGTAGAGAAGGGCACAGCTGGCCTTTGATTTCGTACTTTCTGTATGGTCCAGGGGTCTCGGTCATTACCAGACACAAATTCTGTGTGGTGCTAGTCCTCAACAGATTTTTCTACATAATTTTTATCTAGTCTATTTGTTATGCAGTGCTGTAACGTCTGTTTTGTTCGCTATTCCTTTTTTAATGATTCCTTACACTTTCATTCCAGAGTGACAATAAGTATGTAACTTTGTTGTTTTCCATGGACTCAATTTTACCATACATGTATCCTGAATTTCATCTTCAAATTAGTCCATCTCATGAAGCCTCTCTGCAGCTCTTCACAGCTTAGCCTGGTATTTAGTCTGTGTAGATAATCAGCCAGCTTTGTCCTCCACTGTTTACTGCCTTTTTTTCCCAGTTGATTTTTGATTGTTCAGTAAGGAAACCCTCAGAGCAGATTGTATGTGTGGCCACTGAAGGCACCTCTCCCGAGTGATGTGAGAGTTTCCTCTTTGTGTCTCTGTTCCTTCCTTTGACTCCACTTCATGCTCCCACATTCCCCCAAGTGTGCCTCTAAGAGTTGGTAATTGCAGGGGCACCTGCTTCCGGCTCTCAGCATCCAAAGTCAGGGCTTAAGATCATCGTCTCCATTAACAATCGGTCCTCTGCCTGGGGATTGGTGCTCAATAGAGACCATTAATTGCTCCTTATTTGGGGGGGAGATTTGTTATCTTGAAGGGAGAATAAGTGGAATAGTATGTACAGAAATGTGAAAGAACAAGTATTAGCATATAAATTACCACTAGCATTGTGGGAACAATGTGCTTAAGATCCTGTATTTTCTGTTATCATCCTTTGCTTTCTCTGCTGTACCACGGCGACATCAGAACTCTGCCATCCCACTCCTTATTCAGGCAAATGTGATGTCCCTTAATTAACCACAGCTACAGGAAGCTCTCTTCTGGTGAGGGTGCCCTTGTTCTTTAGTTTCAACTGTGTAATACCCATTTTCCAATCTCCCATTCCAGCTGGACAAATGAAAGTTAAATATTTTATGGCTGTGCTTAAGGTCTGCATAGGATTTCTGCAAATCAGCTTCTTTTTTGTTTCTCTTGTGGGACTACTCAAACTCATGCTTTGAAAGACGATGAATGAGATCGTTTGAAAAGAGGAGACATTTTTCCTATCTCTTGGAAGGTATAGCCACAACCCCAACTGCTTCAAGCTGTGTTTCACAAGGCAGCAGTTGAGAAGTTGCCTTTGCAATTAAGGAAGTAATTTTGAGCCTCATCAACGCTTTATGGCGAACACTCTGCTTTTCTGACATTGAGCATAAAGTGAGAACTTAAAGTTCTTTTTAGCCTTCCTGCTTCCTCTTTGTTTCTGATCACAACAGCTCCAGGGAGACTGTCACCATTTGCAGATAGCTCAGATCTTGAATGAATGAAATTCAGCAGCCTCTGAATTCTGAATCCTCCGAGTTCTGCCTTTAACAGGTCCTATTTTGAAACGTAAGAGACTAAGTTTGTCAGTGGCTTTTCACTGTTGTCCAGCAGTTCTGGAGAAGACTTCTGAAAACTTGGTTCCTGAGTTGTATCTAAGATAGCAGCTTTCCCCAGATTTTCTTTGCTGTTTGACTGCGTGTAGGATGCTGTCTCTCAATCTTTGGCCAGGACTATTTCCAAGACAAGATACTGTGACTTAGCTCAATGTCTCCAAGGATGTTATAGTCACTCTAGAGGTTTCAGGGAACCTCTCACATAAGCTCGGGGATACCCAAGTGCTTTAAAGCGAACTGCTAAAAGGGCCTTGAAAATATCTCTTGCTGTTTGTAATGGATTTGGGAACCAAATCAAAAAACACATCATCCACATTAACTTGAACATGTCTTCCAGCAGAAATGCTAGGTGTCAGAAACTACATCTTTCCTCTTGAACCTTTCCTTATAGACAGGAGTTTGAAGAATCAACTGCTGGCAGTTTTGAGCAATTATGTTCAGTTCCAAAGACGAAGCAGTTCTTTGGAGGTGGAAACATTTGGGTCGTTTCCTGTAGGAACTTAAGACCTGTCCTGAGAAAATGTGAAGGCCCATCCATATGTGTGTGGAGCTGAATGAACACGGAGCTCTCAGAAAGGCCAGGCTTTTAGTGTCTGATGCTGAAATCTTACAGCAAGCTTGCTGCAGAACAGTAAACTGTATTCAGACCTGCTGTAAACGCACCTTCACTGGAAGGGAGCAGGCTTTGGTGCTGAGACCAATTTAGTGACCATCCAGCAAATGGAAATGAGGAATGATATGGAGTCCCAGGCTAAGAGATCTGTTGAGATGCAGATACACATTTAGGCTTTTTTTTAAATTGTAAGATTGTATTTGGAGGTGTTTTGTACATCTGAACTAGCCAGTTCAGCGTAGGTAGGTGTGTTTTGGCTCACTGAATAAATTCAAGCATGAAGTCAAATCCAGTTTGACTGATAGCCTGTTGCTTCAGCTCTTGCTATTCTATTTAAAACAAAAAGAATGGATTCGGTGGAAAGGGTCCAGACCATGAAGGCATTCTTCCTTACAGATGTTCTCAGTGATGATCCCATTTCCCTTCCCAGATAGAACTTTATTCAGAAATTGCTAGCTGTGGCTGCTATGCTGGCCTTGAAGGAAGAGGCGGGTAGCAGGTACATTCTCTGCTGTGAATGAGTCTGTCCTTAGAGGAAGCTTGGAGAATGAAGACACTGCAGCAGGATGAGTTTCTCCCTGCTGTTGAGACAATGAGGAATGAAGTTAGTGTCAGAAATCTCACTTTTTCCAGCTTACATGAGCTAGTAATGTTAAGTGAAATGTGTTCCTCCTTGCTGTTTGGATTCGAGATGGAAAACCTAATGTCACCTGGTGATTGACCAGACTTGATGAAGGGGAGGAGTACTAATTGAGAAGACAAGGCTAGCAGGGTGGAGCAGGATATGTTACACTGATTAACAGCCAGGTATTCAACGAGCAATGAAACCACACTGCAAAGTGTACACGTGTTCCACCATGGCTCAGTGATACGCAGCTACTAAAGGAGGAATCTAGGTCACCTTCTAATGCCTTACTCCTTTAATTCCTCCTGTTTGTGATGGCCAAGCCCATGCAGAAAGGCTAAATGTTCTCTAATCTGAACTGTTTCCTAAAAATAAGAATTGTAAATGATGAATTCTAGCTTCGAGAGCTTGAATATAAGTTTTTTGAATACAAGAATTTCAGTTCTCTGACTTGCCAAAAGAATAATAATCCTCTGTTAAAAAGAAATGTTTTAGGAATAGATCCTGCAAATTTTGTTTTAATGTTAAAAAGGAATACGAAGAAAGTAGGTAGGTATTGGGATCCAAGCAGGTAAATGCAATTCTGTTAATTCTCTTTTTCTGAATTCTGTAATTCTGTTTGGGTGGGCAGTAGTTTTGTTACAGTACATGTGACATATAGATATTTGTCATAAGTTGCCTGGAAGTAGTCTTTGTTAGCAGACATTTTAATGGATTTGTGAATCTTACTTAGTCTACACTCATAATTTGCAGTTAAAACAGTGTCACTTACTGGGGTTGCTAGAAAGATCCTTTGTTACTTACATATTAATATGAATAAAAAAAGGAATTATGTAGCCTCATATTGACACAAAATTACTATTTGCATTTAGTTGGAAGTCAGTAACATCCACAAATCTTTTTACTCTTTCTAGATTCTTTTCTGATAAACATACCAAAATTATTACAGCATTTGGGTATATTTTAGCAGAATCAAGGGGCAAAATTAACAATTTTCTCACAAGCAATCAACCTTTTCATGCCCCCAACATTTCTGATTTGATGGAACAAAATGAGAAACTGTGTAAAAGATATCCCTAAAGAATTACTTCTCAAATGTGTCCCTTTATAGTCCAGAATGTCTAATAACACAGTTCTTGATGTATTGGTAGAATTTCAGGGAACCCTTACTCTGTTGATTGCAAGGATTCATTAACCCTTATATCGTACATATAACAACATCATCTCTGGGGTCACAGTGACACCAGAAGTGCACTGTCATAATGTTTGGTGTCGGAACAGCCCAGTCTCCTAACTGCTAATTTAAAATTCTTTTTGTCATCTGATATGAACACCTTCCTATCCAGGAACTTACCATTGGGCGATGCCACCACACTGGTCAGTGAAATGTTCTCTTACATGCATCATTGTCTGCCATTCTATTCCCATTTCTACAGCTCTACAGCAGAGCTTCCAAACAGTTAGCGGCTCGATTTCTGTCCACTTATATCAAAACACTCAAATTGCAGCCAAAAATACTCGTCATTGGTACTCTTGAGTTTTTAGGTGAAACTGAACTATTGCATGGCGATGTCACTGTCTAGCATGTGAAATAAAAGCTTGTTAGTTCCTTCACTGGTGTTAGATACAGGTAGAGAGATGTTACGCATTCATGTGTGTTGAATAAAAGAGTTTAACCGAATAATTATTTTATTCGAAGATGAAAGCACAATACACTTTTATGCAGAGTTTGGGAGATAAAAACAAGGATATGGGGAGATGTTCTAGTAGATCCTGTGAAAGATAGCATCAGAAATCTTCGCTTCTCTACCTTCAGGTTGATTTCCAGTGGCTCCTGATACAAGGCTTGCTGCCTTGCCTTTTCTATAGATTTCAAGTGCTTTCTTAGTTAATGAAGAATAATGCAAATGTTATTCTTGTGTATTTTCACTGAAATCTGATTGTCATAAGCAATTTCACCAGTTCAAATTTAAAAATAAAGCAAGATGCAAAACCTTTCTACCAGCTTGAGGGAAGGAGGGAGTGTCCTGTACCCTTTTATAGGATCACTTTAGAGCTGGCAGCATTATTCAGTATCCAGATGTGCAGTGGACACACGGTAAAGGTGGTCAATCATGAGAGTCAGTTGTATTCATTGCGCGATAAAAACGCAGATCTGTACCTGCCAATACCTCTCTGTAGACAAGACAGCTGCACAGGGCAGTCACAGAATTACAGAATCTTTAAGGTTGGAAAAGGCCTTCAAGATCATCAAGTCCAACCATCAACCCAACACCACCATGCCCACTAAACCATATCCTGAAGTGCCACATCCACACGTTTTTTGAACACCTCCAGTGATGGTGACTCCACCACCTCCCTGGGCAGCCCGTGCCAATGCTTGACCACTCTCGCAGAAAAAAATTTTTCCTAATATCCAGTCTAAACCTCCCCTGGTGCAACTTGAGGCCATTTCCTCTTGTCCTATTGCTAGTTACTTGGGAGAAGGGACCAACACCCACCTCACCACAACCCTCTTTCAAGTAGTTGTAGAGAGCGATAAGGTCTCTCCTCACCCGCCTCTTCTCCAGACTGAACAACCCCAGTTCCCTCAGCCGCTCCTCATCAGACTTGTTCTCCCATAAGGATTACGTGATTGATGTCAAATCTGGTTGCAAGCTAGTCACCTATGAGCTACCAAACAAATTAGTTCCTACTCTTCTGGCTTTTTGTCTCCCTAAGAACCTGAATGGATACTGACATCTATAAATTCTCATCTACAATTTCCTGGTTAGCTGAGAGAAAACCAAATTTAAGGTAAGGACAAAACACAGTTATAAAGCAATATATAATAGTGGGTGCTTACAAATGAGAACCCCACCTTTTTGGAGGAAGAGACCAAAACAGGACAAGTGTGTTTTATTCTTTCCCCTCTCCACCCCCCGGCCTGAATCCAGGTTTTCTGCTTTCTGACATCCCCAAAGTTTGCAATGTTCTGTGTTCCTCTAGATCATGTAGATAGAAAAACATGGGCTACCAACGTTAGAGAACACTGTGTCTATGCTTCTTTAATAGTGGCAATTTGAATCCTTTTTAGCTCATAGGGATCTCCTCTGGCTAAGGATTACTGAGCTCATGCAGGTGTGTGTTTTTTTTATTCGGCTCACTCTGCATGTATTTCTTTAGTTGTGGATTCTTGTACCTCTTATCTTTGGCAACAACAGTATCTCTATCAGTTTAATTAGACTTTAACTTTTAGACTAACATTTACATCCTTCTAGTTGCAATTTTTGAAATAAGGCAGATTACCTATTTAGTGATTTCCCTGCAGGAGATTTCAGGTCATGCATCTTATATTTTGAAGATAATTTTTATAAGCTCTACTGCCTCTGAATCCTGAGATGTCCCTTTTCCCCTCCTGGCTTCTTGGTTATTTTGTCTAAGGTGCACTTTATCACTGATAAGCCTCTTAGCATGTATATATGTATGTTGTGTTTAACACTGATGTGGCTTGATATCTTCAGCTGCCTAAGACTTACAGAAAATGACAAAAATCTATTGTAATGAGTCAAATGTGTTAAACCACAGATGAATCCTGGGTATATTGTCAGGTTGTTTTGCTTTAACTCAGAGGAGACACTTAGACATTTTGGGGACCTGCTGTGACTTTCTAAGGTTGTGATAGGTTTTTCTTGAGAGCAAGGTTGGCCTGTTAGCTGCTTCTGTTTGGTTTCTCACGGAAATTTGCTGCTTTGCTTGGCATATGCCCCAAACCCAATGCCTACTTAGTTTACACACCACTGCAGGCTTACCTCTGTCAGGGAGAGTCCAGAGACACTTCATTGTGGTTATGATCGTTGGCGCTATTACAACATACTTGTGGATTTGATGTCTACTATTGCCCTGCAACCAAACCAATTCCTTGCAGGCCTTTGGGCTCTGAAGTTGCAGAGAAATAGATGTGTTTGTGTATATGTTGTATGTCAAGGCACATCAGAGCTACTGTTGACCAGACCCTAAGAATACTGCTTAGAATAGTTTGTCCCTTGCTTTTCCTATGCACATAAGTGTGCAGTGAGCATGGATGTATGGCTGATGTACGTGGAAGAACTCCAGTTTCTAGTAAGTAACTTTCTCCCTATAGAATGCTGAAATGGCAAATGAGGCTGCTGCACATTGGTCCTTACCAGTTACTGAGAAACAAGCAGTAGAAACAGAAGTTGTTTTTATTCTCAGTGTGTTTCTTGGCTCTGTTGTCCTGTTGTTTTCTGTTGAGAACAAGAAGGCTGGATTGTTGGCAGCAAAGCTATCTAAAATAAGTCTGCTAAATTATATATATATAAAATATTAAAAATAACAAAAATAAGTATTGCAAAGCTTTGCCTAATCTCAAATATGTATACAAATAGGAGAGACTCATGCATGTTTATTTTGCTAAGATAAAAAAGTGTGACTGGGAATTTCCCAAGTAATTGGGAAGTAAAACTTTTCATAAACAGCTGTGTACCTCTGAAGCTATAGTAAAAAAAAAAGTGAAAGTGAGTGCCACAGAATTCAAGGAGGACTGTACATTGTTCAGTCTGGCACCTTGTTCCTCTCCCTGCTCTGTTCTATGCTGAGCTGAAGAAGTGAGTAAATCACACTTGTAGTAAGACAATACCAAGACAACTCCCGGAGTAATTGCTTTCAGTGACCACATTTGCAGTCAGTATGTTTTTTTTCCCCCCATTCTTTTATTGTTTTCTCATGAAGCAAAGATTCTGGAGACAAATCCCAGAAGTTTAATACCTAAGTTGCGTTGACCTTTTATTTTTTCAATGAGAATTTGGCTCAGAACTGTCACTTGTGCCTTGAAGTCTGTGCTATACTACTTTAATGGTCTTATCCTGTGTTCATACAAGTTCTGGTGGAAGGGAGAACACCAAATGCAGAATCAGGAGGACTCTTTTAAGTAGCAAGCTGTGAACAAACTATGCTGAAATATAGCGTTAATATTTTTTTTTTCTTTTCTCACTTGTTTCCAGGATGCTACCGTTATCTCCCACCTTATGGCACTGCTCAGTAGGTCTCGATATACACAAGAATACATATGTCAGATCTTCTCACATTGCTGCAAAGTAAGAAAGAGAATACGTGTTCTTTATGCAACTTGTTGTGTTTCTGGCATATAAGAAACTGTATAAGATGATACTGCTTTGTGTGGCAGGAACGTTAGGACAGTATTGACTGAACTGTTACTGCTCTGGATTTGCTGATGGATTTATTGGGGTTGGTATATGTTTCTCTACAGTAAAATGAAATATGCAAATAAGTGCTTTTTTTATAGGGTGTGTGTATGTGTTTATACCTTTGGCTACTGAACAAACTCAACAGTCTAGGCAAATATCAATCCTCACTATTATCAGTATAAATTTTGGAAGGCTTATTTTTTTTTCTCTGGAAGTCTCAAGACAGTGTGAGCATCTCTTTGCATAGGTTTTGCACCTGCTTTCAAGACAGCTGTTTTGAGCCCAGAGAATGTTTTCTGAGAGGTACTGTGGGTTGAGAGGAAGAAAAATGCCCTTCTCAGTTGAGCTCTACCACTTACAGGTTTATCCAGGTACATGTTCATTCCT